CGGCACTGACAATTGTTGAAGGTGATATTTGCCTCCAGCTGTTTTGCACTGGGCTTGGGTGCTGTATAAACATTACCCGCTGTGATTTACATAAACACTTAGGCAAGCACCACCCTTAACGAGTAGAAAATATACACGTCTTCAGTGGAAATGTTTATATTCTCAAGTGTGTAATCACTAGTCTGTGTTTGTACCACAGGGATATTTAAATGTCTGTGGTGGACTGCTGACCCTAATAAAAGTATTTATGAGTGTGCCTCAGGGACAGCCCGCCTGGACACGCTCAGGGCAGAATAAGCTCCTTCCTCACGTAACATGATACTGGACACCCCTGAGTATGCAGGTGGCTCCTGATTTGCAGATGAGAGAAGGCACGGCCACCAGCTGTGCTTGGAGCTGTGCTTGCAGGCTCTCTGGAGAGCAGGACAGCCCAGGGCAGCTGAGAAGCAGCCACTGAAATACAATATGGGCAGGCTCCACAGGTGCATTACAGACCTCAGGTCCCTGGCCCCAAAATATGAAAATCAAAATTCTCATTCTGAGAAGATTTGTACATCAACTTCACACTTCTCATTATGAACTCTTTTTAATTTGAGTAGATGTGCTCTCTGCCCTGAAGTTAAGCGTATGTGTTCAGCGTGCAGGGACAATGTTCTAAGTACAGATCTACTCTGGAAGAAGCAAGCAATTTTTCCTCAGCACGGTATCTAAGACACAGTTGAGTTTCAGGGCTGGGAGGGATCTTTAGATTCCCAGAGCAGATAAAACAGCTGGTGAAAGGCTAATGCACAGAAAATACATGGCTTATGTACTCTGGGATTTCTTTTCTTAGCACAGTTTCTATCAACAAACAATTTACTTAGTGTCATGATAATGGGTTTCATAACTGAAAAAAAAATAAAAATCATAAAGTCAGTATATTACTGTTCACAGCATGAGGTTAATTATTTGTATGGCAGCATATGTTCTAAGACAGATTTTTTGGCAGGTAAAGTGACTGGTGTGTCTACACTCAGGACTTTTTCCATATAATTCAACTAAAGCTTCATGTAAAGAAAGAAACATTTGTGAGGAAATGAGTACAGAACATAAACAGCTAAATCCTACATTTTCCAGCATTAGGGTAGTAACATGCATCTGGTAATCAAATCCCATGCACTGTCGTTACTTCGACTGTAGTTTCAACTGGTATTGGTTTTATGTTCACTAATTTTGAGGTGCCCAAGCTGCAAAACCAAACAAACCTTGTGTTCAGTAGCCCCAAGAACAAACACGGCTCCTCCACAGATTTGCCAAATAATAGCCATTGTGGAAATACAGGCATCTCATCTATTCCCTCTCTGTGGCAGCAACGTTAGAAGATCCAAGTATCTCAATCATGAAAATCACCTTTACTTTGCAAAATACCAGTTCATACACAGAGACATTTGCCTTGATTGATCATTAGGCATACCTGTGGCACATGTCCCTACCAAAGTACAAATCAAGTATTTCTGGTTTGGGTTAGTATAAATCAGCTTTTCCATATGGTCCTAAGCTGCCAAAGAGTAATATATGTTATTAATTATTTACTTAAATACATTTGTAGCTCAAAGCCTACACTCTGCAGATTCTAAAAAGACATTAGGAAATATTCCAAATATGTCTTGATTTAATACTAACTAAAAATATCTTATCCTCAGATTACGCAGTGGGATGTCAAAGGTGAGAATATTTGTCCTGGACATCCGACATGAATCCCTGTTCCGTACATATGACCTGGGTTCCATGGAAAGTACAATTCCTTTCTTGCCCTCTTCAGAATAAATTCCCTTAGCTTTCTTAGATCACTTCTAGGTGGTCTAAATACCGTAAGTTTTTGGTTTTGACTAAAATCTGCTGATAACCAGTGAAAAACCTCAATCATCTTTTATATGTAATGTGCTTTACTTATCTAAAAAATAGTCTGAATAACTTTGACATTTGAAAATTCTAGGATTTGGAAGGGAGGAAGGGAAGCTGTATTTCAAAACCAGAAAAACAGTTCAGGAAATTCCAGTCAGCTCCACTCCTTGGGCCCGTGAGTCTACTTTAATTAGCACTTCCAGTTGGCCAGATTGTTGCTACGAAGGTAGTTCGAGAGAACTCGATGAGTAATGTCAAAAATGTTGATACCTCTGGATTTGAGAACAAAACCAGCTTAAATTGAAGAATATGTTAATTAGATATTGAGACATTCAAGAGTAATCCCTTTACTGAGAAACCTGATAATACTTGAACCAGCTATTTTGCTTTTACTAAAACATTTACATTGAAAGGCTTCACCAAATTACCTATTTTTTACTGATCACAGTTTACTTCATTATAATAGTTGACAAACAAGATGTTACAATCTTGACTGGTGTTTAAAACCTCACCAACCTTCCCTTGAAAGGTTAACTTAAAATACAGAAAATGGGCCACTTTATTCTCTCTTGGTAGTTCTGTAATAAAAGGTTGATTGTTCAAGCAGCAGCATTCAATTATTTTGTTTCTGATAGTATCTACATGTAAAAAAACCTAGCTAGGCTCAGCTGGTCCCTGTAGGCTTTCCAGTTCTAGCCTTCAGTACAAGGATGCAAAGTGAAAAAAAATCAGAGCCTCACAATTAACATTCAAAATGTCAAGTATTATGTTGTCAAGTTAAAGAATGAAATTTGCTTTCAGGAATATCAGATATAGAAAAGCTTCTGGAGTGTTTACCTGGTTTTTTTAGTGAAACTCATTCTTCAGATATGTTTACTGGAAAAAAATATGCTAACTGGGGGAAGTTAGAGCTGCAGCCAGTGTTCAGAGAAGTTGCCCACAAATGTAGCCCTCTGGTTCTTGTTGAATTAGTCATGATACTAGACCTCTATAACAGACACTGGAAACTTATACAATATTAACAGAGTTGAAGCAGAAAATAAATGGTTCCCTATCTGTGTTTTTGTTTTACTTTGTTTTTTTCCCCCACAGGACCTGGGATGCTTAAACAATAGATGTGTAGACCAAAAGCAAATAAATATATTGCTCTGACTGTGATGGTTGAAAGAAAAACAACACTGACCTTCAAAAGTTCAGGGAGCAAAATAAATACAGAGTTTTAGAATTAGGCATCAAAATGAGACCACTGAATAACATCCTGAAAACATGGTGAGAATATACATCCAGTGTAAAATAAATCAACTCTCAAAGGGAAAGTGATGTTAATGACTCAAACCATTTTGAAATCAGTGTTAGTTTTGGCAGTTGGCATGAATTTTAGCCCCACATTTACTCACTTTTGCTTAATGATCTTATAGGTGGGAAACTGAATGGACAGGAGTGTTTCAGAGGAGAAAATCAATGCTGTTACAATGGATCCTCAGAAACAGCAACAGGGGCATGACAAAGCAGCTCTGGCATTGGAAGGAAGCTTGGCAGCGCTGAACAATCAGATAAAGCACTTTTTACTTACAAGCCAGTTGAAGCAGGCCCCTAAACAGACCAGTACACAGATGTGTTCTGTTCCTTTAAAATCTCAGCTCTTATTTAAGAGAAAGGCATGAAATAGGAACACAACCAACACAGAAACGCTGGTAACTTTACAAAACACGATGGGTTTACGAGAAAGTGTAAAATTCTTTGTCCATCATTGAGAAGTTTGTTAAATGGTTTGTGTGTGTAGTTTGCTAAGGGTAATTTTTTTTCTTACAAAAAAATTATGCAATCTATATATCCTATCGTACTGAGTGTCTGTCATCTTGTACTGATGACCTGCAGTTCATATTTGCAAAACCCTGCCACATTTCTTCTGCCAAGACACACGTTCCAAGAAACCCATGGAGCCTGTGTTGTGACACACTTACACTGGGAGCAGAGGTACAATCATTGCACAAGAACCAGTTCCTTTGGGTAATTCACGTTTCCTGTCATTCTGAGAGAAGCTCTGCCATCCTCCTTCTCCGTCCCCATCTGATTCAATCCCTTGCTGAAAGGTAATACCGCAAAATCCATCCTTTGTTATCCAGTAGGAGAGCAGCAGTAAACAATTCAAGGACAATGGCCACCAGACATATGGAAAACATCTCATTTTTACTGAGCTGCCACATGCAGATCCTTTGCTAATGAGAATTCCTGAAGTTTGAAAACTACTCTAACCTGCTTGCTTGTTGTTGTTGAAAACCCCATACTTTTTGTGGAATGGAAGATCCCTCTAGAAGCTCTTAAATGACACAGAAAAGTTTGGGTTTGGTTTTTTAAAGATGACACTTTAGACTGGAGAAGTACTAAAAAATACAGGTTAAGGAACAGCTCAACAGTGACATGTAGTAGGCCAATAGCGACCTCGTACTTCACATTTCCAATGACTATCATGGCTTTTAAAAAGTCTTTTGTGCTGTGCAGCCTCTTGGTTATTTGGCAGAACCCAGTAAAATCCCCATTTCCAGATCTCAGAGGGCTGTGTTATCTCCTGGACTCTTGTTACATGCCCGCGGCACTTAGCGGGGGTTCCTCCCCCAAGGATGAGTGATAGCAGCCAGTGGGGACAACAACCCTCACGTCTCCACTGCACGTTTGCTGCCCGTGGAGCCAAGGGTGACAGTCTGAAGGGACGATGACGGCAGGCACACGGGGCTGGACCCCCCAAACCGTGCTCACCCGAGAGTCTTGTGGCACAGAGGGCGTCTGGTTCAGCTTGGCTTCTCGGCTGCACTGGAGGCAGACGGGATCCCAAGCAAGTCTGTAAAAGTCCTGGAGGTCAGGACACGGTTTCTTAGAGGGAACCTCGCTGAGCCTCCTTCCCTAGCGCTGGGGATCCCCCGCACCGCCAGACCCCAGCCGGGTCCCCACTCCGGGGGCAGCGGCGGGAGGGCTGGGCGGGCTCCTGGGCGGGCGGCACCGCACTGGACCCGCCTCTCCGCCCGGGGCCGGCCGCCGAGCACCCTCCTCCTCCTCCCCCGCGCCGAGGCGAGGGGCTGCCCGCGGCTCCGGGGCCACACAAAGCGGCGAGTGGCGGTGCTTTCCCCGCCGCCCGTCCGGCGGCAGCCGCGCCCGAGGCCGGCCGGAGGCGCGGGGCAGCCTCGCTGCGCCCACCATGGAGCCGCCCGTGCCTCCTCAGGAGCAGCCGCCGCGCCCTCGCTCGCACACGGTCACCACCACCAGCAGCTCCTTCACCGCCAACCTGTCGGCCAGCTCCAGCACCCTGGCCTACGACAGGGAGTTCCTGCGGACCGTGCCCGGGCTCCTCATGGTGACCGAGATCGTGAGTGACCCCGGGCAGGAGGCGGGAGTCGGGCCGGGGTGGGGGGCGCGGAGGGGCGGGGGAGCCTCGGCCCGGCATTGCTGTGGTGTGGAATTGGGGTGTTTCCCCCTCAGTGCATCACCCGGTGCGGGTGAGGTGAGTCCGTGCCCGCAGGTGAAGCGCCGGGAAAGGACGAGCCCATGGAAGCAAGAGCGGATCTGCGGCGGGGGCACAAACCTCCCGCCTGGAAACTATCGACAAATGGAAAAGTAACACAGGGCACACGCGGTCTGTTCAGCCTCCCGCAGCGTCTGCGGTATCATCACCTCCCGTAGCGGAAAGATGAGTTTTGACTGATTTTTGGAGACTTTTCTGTAACCACATTGGCTGTGTATGCTTCGTACTTCATAGCGCACAGATAGTCATGATGTGAGAGTTAAGTAGGCAACTTATTTGTCTTCTAGGTCAATAAAAACAATTTCCTTATACTCTTAGTGGTTAATTACACCTAAGCAGAGCAGGATATGAACTAACAGCTTTTGCGTTTGGTAGTGATTTTATTTTTTGCAGGTACTCCCACAGAAGGTGGAAACGAATGTACAGAGGGCCAGGCAGTGCAGGGTTCAGTCACTTGCCTTAGTGGTAGGTGGTGAACAGCACAATGCTGGGATCCCTCTGCAGGCCTGTGTGCCCTCAGTGTGTTAAGCAACAGATGCTCAGCATCTCCTCCTAAAAATAATGTGTTTAATGCTAGTCATCTACACTATTAATAATTAAGGAACTTACAGACCTGGTTGCCCCAAATAACTTTCTGAGTTTACTGTGTGATGTTTCTGGTGTGTTGATGTTGGAAGGATTAACTTATCTGACCACATTCGTTTTCAAGGCTTGAAAACATTGTGCTTTACCAGAGCAGTGGAATGGCTGTTGGTTTTGCTAACTTCAGAGTTAAAATAACCAAGCAGAGCTTCATGCTGATGTGTGGCATAAGACCTCCGGCAGGAACAATGCCATCGGTGAGGGGATGCACATTGAGATGCCAGCTTGCTGTGTGGGCAAGTATTGGTAAGGCTGTGAAGTCAGAACCTGCTACCAGCTGGTACCTTTTATGCTGGTGTCGTTGGGAATTTTATCAGTCTTCAGCAGATACATGATTGTTTTGGTTGTTAAATAGAGGAGATGCTTCACTGCCAAAGTTGTGGTAGATCTGTGAATAATGAAGTCTTAGTTTTTGAAAGAACAGCTGCTTTCTTTTCCACTCCTTTTCAGTTAGTAATTACAACACTTATGAACCTTTCTTGTACTTTATCTGAAGAGTGATCCCACTGTAGATTGTTAGAGAGGTGCCCAAGGCTTTTCCCAAGCCCTGATGGAATGTCATGTATTTATCCTGAATCAGCTACACCGACATTGAGCTACATGGCCACAGGGCATGGGCAGGTTCTTGCTTACTCTTTGCTGGAAGTGTGCTTTCTAGTTTGTGTTGACAGGTGTTGTTGTGCAGGTTACCTTTCTAAACAGTGATGATGGTTTTTAGGGGGATTTTGTTTCCTGTCAACCATTCCTAATTCCTGGAACAATTATAAAATTATTCTTTCTGCCACCATTTTGAGATACTTGAGTCCGTTGACATTTAGAGACAGATTTGATTTAAGTTTCATAAGTACTTGAGAACACATTTACCAACTTCGAAAGAATCAATGCTACCTGATTTGTAGGCTAGTGTAGAGTTTTGTCAGCCCTACAGGGTTACATGTATGTATTTTTGTTGATCAGCAGTGTGAAGGTCAGCAGTTCCTGGCCTCAGAGAGGGTGACAGGAGTCTCTAGATGTAGATTAACTTTTACTGGTTTGTGATGGTGTATTTGAGAGAATGGAGGACAATTCTAATATGAAGTTGAAAGCAGTAAGGCAGGTCCTACAGAAGTAGGGTATTAATAGATAGTGCCTTTGAGACAATATTTCTGGTTCTTAAATCTTAACTACTTATTTTAAAGCAGCTGGAGTATCTGTTCCGTGAAATTAAAGGAAAAGAGAAGCATTAGTGAATTTTCTGATACAGAACTAAGTGAAAAAATCCCACAGTTATTAAAATCAAACAGTGAGAATTTTCTGATACAGAACTAAGTGAAAAAATCCCACAGTTATTAAAATTAAACAGTGAGTTTATGTGTGTGTGTGTATATATATATATATTTGGCATTGATTTATGGTCAAATGTTTTCCACCAGTTCTGTGTACTCTTTTCTTTTTCTAACAGCAAATGTGTTCTAAAAGATCATTACACTAGTTCTCTATTTCAAAATTGGCTGTGCATATTCAGCAGTAATGGAATTTTGTACCCTGAGTCTACCTGTTCTGATGTTGCGCCGTGCCTACAGAGATTGGCCCTTCAGGGTGTTCCTGACCCTCAGTACTGATCCCTCAGCTCACAGCATGATCTTTCGGCTAAGGATTTACAAGGCTGCAAAAGACACCAACTCATATGTTGGAAAGAGGACTGGTTTTAGTAATATCTGTTATCACTGCAGCTACTCATCTGCGAGACCCCATGTTCACTGATACCGTGTTAAGCTAAGCTCAGGGTTTTAGACAACAGTGCTGAGTGTTCCGAGTATGTGCTGTGGGGCTGCGTAAGTACTTGATTATTGCCACTGTCAGTCAGCAACGTGCATGCAGCAAGAGAAGTGCAGTCTTTTGGTCTCCTGGCTCTGAGACTGGAACTCTTCTTCTCTGTGTAGGCAAAGGGCAAATCTGTGTTATTCTTTGACCAAAGAAAATGGAAAAGCAGAAAGTTACCACATAAATTAAATCTTCCAGTCCCTTACATGAAGGATCTTGATCAGGTTTTGTTTCCACATCCCTAATTTGGGTGCTGCGAAGATGAATTAACTGCTGCGTGGATTTCCACATGTGCTAGTAACCAGCCTACATCTGCACTGAGACTGTGGTTTAATGGTACAGTAAATTCAGCTTAACAGCTCCTACTCAGAGATTCTTTGTAGTGCTGCAAAGCTCTGGTCTGCTATTAACTCAGTCTGCTGTTTCCAATTTGTTCAAAACGAGTTAGCTTTATAAAGACAGGTTTTGTGACGGATCAGGTGTCATCTGTCCTTTATGTAGCTGCTTTAGAGCCGGCATAAATCTGGGATGAGGTTGACTGTGCATACTGAGCAGTAATAGAGTCGTGTAGCCAAACCTGGTTCAGCTTAATTCTGTAACGCCGTTTGGTCTAGCACTGCACACATCCAGTATGAATGCACACAGAAGCACAGCCTGAAGTGTAGGCTAAATTAGCTGGTGCTGACAGATTTCCATTGCCTTCTACATCTGCCTCCATGAGCAGGGTGGGTGCAAGGTTTCCTGCCACTCACTGGGAAAGGACCGGGGTTAGTTTATTTCAGTGCAAGGACAGAAATAGAAAATGCCATTGATTTCTGAGGGCGGCCTTTGGGAAGTGGCATAAAACGTAACTTGGTGCATGGAATCTTATCCAAAGTACTTACATACAGGAGCAGTGAAGCTTGCTGGACAAGGCAGGGGCTTCTGACTCTGGAGACTTGGATTCACTGGCCTTAGCTGACCAGTGACTACTGAAAATTTAGATCTATAACTTATCTGAATGCCTTATCCATTAATGGAATATGGATACAAGTCTTTGTAAGGCACGCTTTGATCTGTTGGTGGAAAGTAATACATAAGACATAAGCGATGTTACAGGAAGTCTTTAAATGAGATGTCAATCACCTGGGTTGACACTGCAGTAAAAACATATCATATAGAAGAATGGATACTTATTCCTGCAGTGTAGCACCACCACCACTTGCTTCCTTTCAAGAGAAGCAAGTGTAGCAATTTGCAGAGATGCCTTTTGAATGTCTCCTTTCTGTACAATGATGGCCCAGAGAAACTATGTTTATCTTCCTGAGGCTTTTATGGCCAAGATAAATGATGGCTAGTGATACTTTCTCAGAGCTTTGAATCAGTTTCTCAGGTCAAGCATTATGGATCACTTTGGGGAGGTGGAGAGTTTTGTGGTTGCTATGGATGTAGTTATAAAAATATTTACTTTCTAGCATGATGACACTGATTCCTTCAGATTGTTGCTTCACACCAGTGTTTTGCTAGATGCAGTCTCTCGTAAAACTTGCACTACTAATTTTAAGGCTTGTGATGGCTATTTGACCTTGACAATAACAAGTACTTATTTTGTGTGAAGGTTGTGTGAGTGAGGTCTTGTGACGGTGTAAATTTCAGTAAATTGTAATTACAGTTGCATTTCTTTATGCTGTTCTGCAGGTTATTCTTTGAGTGAAACGCCCAGAATAAGATAGGGACTTGAAATAGAAGCCTGATAGGATATTTACTTTATTAGCACCACATAAAATTGTGATTCAGATTTGTTTCTGGACAATAAAAATAATTTTGATCACTGTTTAATTATTCTTCAAACGCAAGACCTTTGAATGTTTAATTCATAAAGGAAGTCTTGTTGAATTTATTTCTTCTAATAGAGTGGTGAGCCTCAGAATATTAAAGACATATTGAAAGTTATGTCAGATTTAAGATATTGAGGTTACCAAAACCAGAACAACTGAACATTTCCAAGTGTTGTTCAGCAGGCTTTTCTTCCTTTTTTTTTTTCCTCTGAGAGATGCATCAGAATCACCTACAGATAATCAAGTTTTGAATTAAGTTAGCAATACAATTACATATATGTTAAGAAAAACAGAACTGATACAGGGGACCATCTACTGTAAAAAAAGCTAAAAGAAAAAAAATTATGCTTAAAGTTCACCTTATATTTAATCTCAGGTCCTCTCTGACTGCAGTTCAAAGTTTTGTGTATAGATCCCATCCTCCACCCTCACACCCAGTTCTTGAAATAGCCCTCAGAAACACAGAGGTTGTTCCATAAAGCCCCTTTCCTCACCTGAGTAGCAGCAAGGCTTTCCCTTCTTTCAGGAACAGTAGAGATTTTTTTTCTTCTTATAATGCAGTTTTTACTCCAGTTTTAGTGT